TAATAAAAATATTATAATGTGTGAGATTTTGTAATTTTTTTTCATTAAACATGTGAATTTTTGTCTTGAAAGTGTACGTCAGAGACCCTGATAAAATGTTTGGAGCAGACATTAAGTCCGTGGTTGCGATATTTTTTGGTCAAATTTGTCTCGGCCCGTAACTTGAATCCAGCTGTTAGAATCTTAGTTTGTAAAAAGTGACRAAAAATACTACTTCCATGTGGRGATGGCTGTATCCTGAGTCACTGTTACAAGAACTGTAGCACAATGTTTAGTGGTCTTCCTGGTGGAGTTTGATGCTCTTTTATAGAAGTTGTTTAAGTTTAAAAACAGCTAAACCACATACTGATTGAAACCAGTGGAACCACTACCAGAGTTTGTATGCTCACCAGTGCTGAGCGGATGTAGTCATGCCACTAGTTCTAGAAATAGCCTGAGTGGAGATCCCCATGTGCTGTGGTAACAACTGATAGTCATCTCCAACCTCAGAACCTGGTTTTAGTGTGAACCACAAAAGTTCACTKATGGTGTGTTTTTACCTGAACTGACTAGTTTTAGATAGTGACAACAGTTTACTAACAAGCAATTAGCCTTCTAGTTTATTGAGCTAAAGACAGATTCATTTAATTCACTCTCCCTAAGCAGCTTTTTCATGCTGGAGTGTGGCGGGGCTWCTGCTTGCCCATGCTACAAGTGCATTTTGTGCGTGTGACAGAGACTTTAAATCAAAAAATGGCCACTCCAGAACAGCTCTATAATCCTCCTGATGGGAGTCATGGGGGATCTCTGCTGCAGATGTCCGCTTGGCTGTGCAGGGGGCCCAGGAGGACGTGGAGCTGTGCGTGCAAAAACAAAACAAATTACACTGCATTAGCTGTGAGCTGGCAATTTGTCTTCAAGATAAATGCCTTTTTGTAAATGCTTGTATGACTTTATACAAATGAGACTGATACCTTGGGGTTGATCTTGCATATATGAACCAAACCTGCAGAAAATGCAACCGACAGTGAGACCTGTGTTGCTTTACAACTGAAGTGGGCATTCAAAAACAGATTTGTTTGTACAAACAGTTTAAGTGTTTTTGTTTCGTTGTGTGTACAAACGACAGACCTTTGTATAATCCCTGGAGAAGCCCATGATAAATGTAAACCAAGTTGTTTAGAGCAGTGTTTTTCAAACTGGGGGCCGCAGCTCCCTGGGGGTTCACCAGAGGGAAGGAGGACCTCAGAAATCTGGAGGGAAGATAAAAAAACCCCACAAAACATTAAA